GTATTGGTTTTATTTTCCGTATTTCTCTTACTTTTGTGATATTTGCTTAATTTCAGTGTTTCTCTCGATTTTCTTATTTTTCATTTCTCTTGTTTTTAGTATATTTTTGAAAAATCTAAAAAAAAAATCGTAAAAAAAAATATTATATATATATATATATATATTTCGTGGCTACGTGTGGTTGTTTTGTTTTGGTGTGCAGGTATTATGAACTTCAACCGTGCTTTCCCATATCCGCACACCCAATCTTGGGTGAACGAGCCGGGTTATCACACCGGGTACCACGTCCAACTTTATCCATACTCTTCCGAGCAACGCTGGGAACCCTTCCCGGTCGAGAAATATTACGAGTCCCACGAGTTTAACGAGAAGCTCGACCGTGTCTATGCTTTTGCATCGTCTCGGTTAGCTCAAGAAGAAGAGACCGCAACCCGGTGTGCACCTCTGAACCAGTCATCTCCATACCACGATTCTTTGGACTATGGCTAGACTTGGACATATCTCCTACGAGCAGCAGTGGGATTCCTGGCCTATCGAGCAGTCATACGAGTCCCTCGAGGATTCCTCGGAATACAATGCAAAGCTCGACCACGTCCTCGCTCTTTTAGCCTCCCAAGCGGCCCGAATGAGCAATATTGAGTCCAGAATCGAGAACATAGTGGAGCGCGTGCATGTCTTGGAGGATCGAGTTACAAATGTCTCTCCCGAGCCCACCGCTCAAGGCGAATCTACACATAAGGATGAACCTCGGGAGACTGCTTTGACATACGATGAAAAGCTCGACCTCATCCTTGCTCGCATACCTGCCCATACCACTCGAGATGTGGAAATTGAGCTCGGATGTGCTCGACTGAGTGCACAAATGGAGATTATTACAGCACATACCGACTCAATCGAGGCCCAAATCGACGACCCCCACTTTATGCTTGATACTCAAGCCCGCATGATGAAACAAATGTGTGAGGCCGAAGAAGAAGACGATGAGCTCCAGCGAGACGTTGATGATATCTCAGAGGAGGAGATCCACGGGTTTGATTCTCAAGTCACTCCTCCCACCTCTGAGTTGGAGCATCCGTATTCGAGACCGTTGCATTGTGTTACAAAGTGGGAAGGATTCAGTTCGACTTGCTCCACAGATGTGTTTATAGTTCCGGAGGTTGACGACAGAGCTCGGATGGGAAAAGCTCTGCGTCTAGAATTGGGGATTGCTTGTGCTCGAACTAGGTTCACCAAGAACATAGCCACCCGGATCCACCGTGCCAGCCTTCTCGCCAATCTTCCCATGCTACCACTGCTCGAAAATACGAAGGCGTGGCACGATCGTCACTTCTTTTTGGATCCTGGTTGATTTGTACAGGTTTCGTCAAGCTAATGACGTTAAACAAGCGCTTCTTGGGAGGCAACCCAAGTGATTTACTGCTTTCTTGTGTGTTTCGTTTGCGATTTTTAGTTTATTTATTTTTAAATAATGGGAGGTTTAGAGTTTTGTTATTTTCTTGCCAGGGATGAGCTTGTAGTATGGAGATTAAGCTACGAAAACGACCATAGTCCCGAGTTAATCATGGGCGAAAGAATTGCACGTGAACGCTTATCCTCATCGACGCACCTTCGGTTTGCACACTCTTTTCTTTTTCTTGTTTGAATTCCCAGTTTTTGTTCTTATTTCATTTATGTGTTGATGCAATAGGGACATTGCATTATTTTAAGTGTGGTGGAGTTGACGACTCCGCTGTGGATTTTTGCATGTTTATGTGGTAGGTCGTTGTGTTGTCGAGCATGTGGTATTGGTGAATTATATGATTTGTTGATAAATGTTTGATGAAATTGGGAAGTTGTGATGACGGACGTATTTACCATTGCCTCGATATTTACTTGATTAATTTAAGTGATATTTATTTACCTTGTGAGGTTTTGATCCTTACTTTTCTTTCTTGAGAGATATTGGTCGTATTCTCTAATGATTAGAACTTGCCTTGAGTCTATTTGAAAAGAATCGGTTTAAGTTTGAAATTGCGAAAATGATTGAGGCGTTTTTGTTTGTTAGCTCGTTTTGCCTTGTTCTTGACCCTAAAAAATACATTTTCCGCTAGTAGCCCGTTTGAACTTGAAGCTTTTTTTTGTAAGCCATACATATATATATGTGATTGTTGACATGTTTTGAGTTACGATTGGTGAAGTGGCGATATTTTTGAACGAGGTAAAAATTGAGTTGTATTTTGTTGCTTGACCAAAATAAAAAAAAAAATAATAGAAAAAAATATATATAATACATGAGAGCTCACAAGACGAATCGATTGGATTCTACTCCGATTACTTGTTTTTAACGAGTAATGAGTATTGGGAAACCACTTTAGGATACTTGGATGACCTCTAATGTTTAAACCTAAGGAATATTGTCCGTACGGTTCGAGCTTGTTCGGAAATAGTAACTCTCTAAATAAAAAATAAATAAAAAAAATGTGCAATAAGTCAAGCAATATTGCAATTCGATTGGAGCATTTATGTGTTGTTTGTGGAGACATTGGTGGATGGTATGTACGTTATCTTGTTGACTTTGGTCGAGTGGCGGACATTCGAGTATTTTATTACTCGAGAACTTTGATTGTTCATTTGAGCTTCTTGTCCATATATATATCCTTACCTTTACCTACATCCCACATTGCAACCCGAGAAGTCCTCTTGATTCAAAATTTTGAGCTTTGATTGATTCCGAGTAATTTAGACAATTGACAAGCATATGTTGAAACGTGAATATCGACCAATTTTGAGCATACCTATCACATATCCAAGCAAGAAAATGAGTGAGGCATATATAATGATCTATGTGTTGAGAGTTTGTCATTTTAAGGCCAAGTCGATATTTGAGGCATATGGTCGTACGGTCGTTGAAATTCGACCCGATTGAGTTAAACATTTTGAGGCATGTTTTATGTGATACCATACCCATGTTCGTGTTTTGTTTTCTTTTCTCTTTGTTCGGGACGAACAAAGGTTTAAGTGTGGGGGAGTTGTTGTGACCATTTTTGTTACATTTTTCTCTACTATTTTGTCGTTGTTTTTCCCCCGTTTTAGGTCTTTTTGTTAGTTTTCAGTTCATTTTATAGTTTATTGTGTATTTTGTTCTATTTTGGCTTTTTATGTGTTTTTCGTGTATTTTGTCATTTTTCTACGTTTTTCTTCTTGTTTTCAGTGTGCAGGTCGGGAGCCCCGTAAGGAATCAATTTAGCTCAAAAATGGGTCGGGAAATCATGGTTGGATAGATGAGTTCCTTAGCTACACATAGAAAAAGACGGAATCCAATTTCGAGTTCGGACGAGTCCGGACGGGTCCAAAACGCAAAGTCGCGCGAAACACGTTCAATGTGTAGGTCAAGAGCTTTGGGAGAATATTATTTCAATAATAATTTGGCCAATCAAGCATCATTGAATAGAGGAGTTCGTTAGCAACGCGTAGAAAAAAACGGAACTCAATTCCGAGTTCGGACGAGCCCAAACGAGCCCGAAACACAAAGTTGCGCAGTCCAGCCCAGCTAGCGGCGCTAGGGGATGCTAGCGGGCTTCTGAAGCTCATTCTTGACCCTAGCGGCGCTAGAGACCCACCTTAGCGGCGCTAGGGCCTGCTGGAGCCCTCCACTTTGATTTTTCCCACATTTTTCTCCATGTTTTGAGCCACCATGTCCTCCTCCATGTTTTGTGCCAATTCCTACATATTTTACTCCATGTCTTGAGATTATTGTGCCTTAAAAATAGGATGGATGTTTGATGAGGAGTAGTATAAAAGGAGGTAAAGTGCAAGACTTCAAACCATCCCTCATGGGAGGAGTTCTCCTCCTCCTTCCTTCTCTTGTTCTTCTCTTGTTCTTCTTAGTTATTTTTCTTGTTTGTATTTTGGAGATTAAGCATTCCTCAAGAACTCGGTTTGGCTTGTACGTTTGATTTCGATTCTCGACTTGGATTAATAGTAAGTTTTCTTCATTCGATTATGAACATGAAAGCTTGTGTTAAATCTTTTGTTGTGATTCATTTCATCATGAGTAGCTATTCCTCTAGCTAGGGTTAAGGGATAATTATTCCGATTTGTTCTCATTTATGTGCATGACGATATCTCAATCTTGACGAGTTGTTTTAATTATGAATTGATAAAATCATACTCGATAAAAGGTTATAACCTAAGAGTGACACTTAGGTTAATTGTTGATATAATCAAAGAGTGACACTTTGATTTGTGAGTAAATAATTTGTTGAGTTAGAGTTTGTTAATTCTACATGATTATCGACTTTTAGAACCGAGAAGGGAGGATTCGTAGAGTTAATCGATTTCAAAACCGAGAGGGGAGAAATTGGTGGAATTTGGCTCGTTAGAGTAGACATGTTCGGAGACGTATTGTCTATGTGTTAATTGTTTCGTTAATTTGCTCTTTTATGTTTATCCTCATATTACGAGAGTTAGTGAGGTTAAACCGCTAAATGAGTTAGTTAGTCGAACCATTTAACCGAGTTATTGATTGCCACTAAATGTGTGTAGAACCGGAAGCAATTATTCCCGATACCCTAGCTCGTTTATCTTTTTATTGATATTTTTAGGTAGATTATCGTCTTTTGTTATTTCTTAGTTGATAATTTTCCAATTCCATCTTTTGATTAGTATGTTTAGGATTTATTTTCTTTTTATGTGTTATCAATACCATTTCTAAATTCCGAACCGTCTTCCTTGAGAGATCGACCCGGGAAACGAATCATTCGATTCGGTGCTCGGTAAAATAAAAATAATTTGCTACAACAATGGCATTATGGTAATTGGTAGACGTATTAATGTCAAATATATGTATTTGACCACTCATTAAGGAGAAATATGTCATTTGCTACAATTACAATTACCCGTGGGACCCACCTAAATTACTCACCACGTCACTCATCTCTCACCCCACACACATGTGCCCCTCTCTCTCTCACACACACACACACATATCTCACACGCGTTCGCGTACACATTACACACACTCTCGCACCAACTCCGGCCCCGACTTCCACAGCCGCCATCTCTGCCACCCACATACATCTGCTACGCTGCACGCAGACACCAGTTCTGGCGGCCCCGCCGTCTTTCACTACGGTAAGTTCGCCTGACTCTTAAAAAATTGAAAAAAGTAACAGCTCAAAAATCCCTCCGGCGACGACATTGAAGCGGCGACGGTGGGTCTGAACTTGAGATGGAAACCTAAGAGGGAAATCGCGGCGGCGGCAATGCGCTGGGTTTTACTAGGGACGAATTTGGGATGGAGAGTTTAGGGGGATTTAATTTGGGTCGGTTAGGGTTTTGGAATGTGTGCAGAACGGCCGAGCGAGGGTAATGTGAGGGCGGAGACGGCGCTGGTGGTCGAAAAAGAGAGTATATACGTGTATGGAGTGAGGTTGACGGTGGCAGATGAGACGAGGCGGTTGGGCTGAGGGCAGAGGAGGACACGAGTATTGATGCGTGCGATGTGGCCAGTGCTGGTGATGGCATGGGCGGCGGCGGAGGAAGTTGGTGACTGGACCAATGGTGATGGTGGTTGTGGCGGTCCGTGGAAGGGCTACTGTGTTGAATGAACAGTTGGTGTTTTGGGTTATGTTTTTGTAAATTTGATTTATTTTAGGGACTTAATTGCAACTTTTTTAAATTTAATATATTTCAATTTAGTTCCCAAGAAAGTATCAGTTATAGTTCCCAAGAAAGTATCAATTTATAATATCCCTATCAGTTATTAAGAAAGTATCAGTTATAGTTCCCAAGATTGAACTAATTTCGAGGACAAGTATTCAGTTATAAGTTCGAAATTAAGAGTTGTTCAAGGAACAAGCCACACGAGTCGTGTGGAATGAGCCACATGAGTCGTGTGACAAGGCACACGAGTCGTGTGGGAGGATGAGAAATAGATAGTTAGCTTCGGGTTTTTCACACGAGTCGTGTGACAAGGCACACGAGTCGTGTGGAGCCACACTAGTCGTGTGGAGCCACACAAGTCGTGTGACCGACAGTAAGGTCTGATTATTGAGAATTCGATTGTGATCTCCACCAGAGGCCATTTCTGAGGATTAATTATGTATTTGAGAAGTATACAAGTTAGTCTTTAACTAGTTTATGAATAATTATGTTTATAAGTTTAAATTGTTTATTTTGTTCATTTCTTCACTCCATCTTAATGTCATGAATTTGTGCCTATAAATAGAGGCCTAAAAATCAGAGTTTTTACACCAAAGAGAGTTAACAAAAGTTATATAAGTTTATAAGAGAGAATAAGTAGTAGAAATTTTTGGGTAATCAGAGTTTTTCATAATAAAGTTCATGCTTTGATGATAAGTTGAGATGATTATGAGTATATATATCATGATTTACAAGTTGAGTTTATAATTGATTCTATGAATACAAGGAGTTAAAGTTGTTTCAAGATCAATTATATGATATAGTGCTTGTTTGAATGAGATTTTGATAAGGATATGAATAAGATGGAAAAGTTTGATTTGCATGAGTAATTCTTGTGTATAATAGGAGTACATGAGAACAACAATTAAGTTATTTGGCATAGTATAGCTTGAGTTATAGAGTTTTGAAGTTGAACATGCAAGCTGAATTTTATGTTCACTGTTTTAGTTGTGACTTTGAATTCCAATAACTTGATGGATATGCATGATAAAATTATGAAATTTTTATGACATGTCTAATTGTGAGTTAAGAATATGCTGTTAAATTTCATGATTTAAAGATGAGAAAATGAATGAGTTAAGATAGTTACATGGCATATATGTAAAGATGATGATATATGCAAGAATATTTATTATATGTTCAAGTTTTAAAGTAAGATTACTATGAACAATTCTCATATAAGTGATAAGCAATTTGACAAAGTTTTTAGTTTAATATGTGGAGTATACAATTTTATAAAGGTTGTTTTAAATCTCGCATATTAAGATCATAATTTAATGTTATGATTAAAAGTTGAATTGAATGAGTATTAAGTTGAGATTTTAGTATCAAGTAAGTTTAAGATGAGTTTATTAGTTTATAAATCATGTGGATGATGTTGGAAAAAGTTAAGCATGTTTTGAGTTTAAGTACTCAATCAAGTATAATGTGAAATTTAGTTATTTTCACACTCGAGTTATTTAAGTGACATGCGAGTATAAACCAATATCTATGTTTTTGAAGACATGATTTATATGGGGTTAAGTAATTGACCTTGAGTAAAAGTTAAAAGAAAGTTAAGTTTTAGTATTCATTTGAGCAATAGCATGCTTATTGAATTCCTATAAGATTTGGATAAATTATCCGAAAGAGTTAAGAATCTTATTGAGTATACGAGCATAGTACTTAGTATATTTGTTTATATTTTTATGTAACTCACAGAGCACTTACCATTTTTCAAAAGTTTTCAAAGAAGAAAGGTGGGGACTCGGAGTGGGTATCACATTGAGTACGATATTGATAAAAGTTTAAGTTTATATGCCTGGGATGAGGAGGGCATCAGTTGTCTCAGAGTATATCCTAAGTTCTTATTTATACGCTTGGGATGTGGAGGCATTCAGTTGTCTCAGAGTATATCCTAAGTTCTGATGGAGGCCGGTTGAGTTGTCTTGAGAAATATCCATCAGAGTGTGCACACGTATCTGATCAGATCGGAAGAGAAAGAGAAAAGATTAAGTTTCAGTACCAGAACAGATTTCTGGTTACCGATCAGATATTGGTTTATGATTATCTTTATTTAGTACTCATCCCCATAAGTTTATTTTCAGGTAACAGGTCAAGGAGAAGGTGTGAGTGGAGCAGTGTTGGTGTGGATCGTGGACTCAGATTATGACAAGCTTTTATATGGACATTTATAACAGTCTGTATAATTAACCACGTTTTTATGTATTTCCGCTATGCATATTAAGAATTGAACTTGCATTTTAATAAATTTCAGATTTCAGGTTTTTATCATTCATAATTATGAATATGGTACAGTTAAATGCAAGTTATATAAATCTTTTTTTTTATGTCTAAATAAGTATTAGACAAAGTTTAAAGATAAACAGATTTTCAGAAAAGATGAGTTTAAGTAGCATCCCGAGTTAGTCGCAAAAGATTTCGAAAGATTTATAAGTATTTTCGAAGTAAAAGTTGCGAAAAAGTTACTCTGATGAGCGGGGTGTTACAAATCGGTAATTTTATAAAAGCCTAATATCTGCACATTAATGATATATAAAATGCACAATGTTGTGTGAGAATATGCACATTATAAATCTCATTCATATTATTACGAAATCAAAATAATATTCATGGCCTACATGTTTAAAAGTTCACGAAATCCAAAATAAAATGACTGAATCGAACTTTCGAAAAAAAGAAAAAATGAATCAAACATTGATTATAACTAACTAATTTATTCGGCAAGTTATTAGATTTAACTAAATATTAATTTGTATAACCCTTATGGACACTCGCAGTACATAAAAATATATACAAAAATAATAATATTTTTTCACGTAGTTTGGTTGTTCCAATTGTTTCGTTATATATTGTGCAATCTCATAGTCATTAATGTGTAATTCGTCTAACATTATTTTGCAACGCATACATTGTTAATGGTTTGTTTCAAACTAAAACTAAAGTTGAACCGAATTACGTGGTTTAATCACTCGGTTAACCAAATTATTGTAAGTCATCGAAATAATTTATAAAGTATATAAAATTATTTTTATATTTTAGTAATTTTATATAATATTTTTTATATTATTTTATGTAACAAATATTGAATAGAAATACCGTAGACAGTAATGTGCATTGTCATAGACACTAATGTGTAATTAGTCTATCATTATTATGCACTCTATTGAGCAGACATTTATTATTGTGCGTTATCAATTTATATACACAACAAAAATATATTTATTTTTTATATATTTTTTTAATATTTTATATTATTGTTTGCTACAAAAATAATATATATATAGATGACATAAAAAAAAACAAATTATATAATTCGGTCAATTTTGTTATTCCATTTCCTTTTTATTTTAATTAATTGATTTATTCTTAAAATAAAGTTGAAATGAACTAAAGTAATAAAAATTATAATATAAGTGAAAACACTCACTTGTGTGCTAATGTGCATTAACAAACGAATTAATGTGCAATCGACTAACATTAATGTGCAATACTATAGTCACTAATATACGTCTTGTTTATTGTAAATACGTTTTTTTATTCTTATGTGCAATCCAAATTAAAATCGAACAAAATAGTATGTTTATCCAGTTGGTTAACTGAATTGACGATAATAATTGAAATAATTTATTAATATATTTATAAAAAATATATGCAGTATTTTAATATTCTTTTTTAATATTTTTATATTATTTTTTAATGAAAATATAATAATAGATATGTATAAAAAAATAATACTTTTTTATAGTTCAGTCGGATCAGTTATTTTAAAGATAAAGCCGCATCGAGCCGAGATAATTGAAATTTTAAAAGTAAAAATTAATAATCGAATCATATTTAAAAAATTCTGACCGAAAATTATAGTTCGGACTGAACATTAAATTAAAAACAAAGAATAGAATTGAAAATTCAAACTGATATATAAAATGCATCTATTGACTTTTATTAGTTTACATATTTAACCTATGAACTAAATTGTAATATAGTTGTAGTTATTTAATTTTCAGATTGGCCCCTTCAAAATGTCTAATTTTCAAAAAAATGGCCCCTAATTTCATAATCCAATCTTTCTTCCCCAAATCAGATTTTTTTGTGTTTGTTAACAGATTTCCAACGCATATGGCTGTGGGTAAGGCGGAGACGGCGGATGTGGCTGCGGGAAGGCAGAGACGACGTCGGGACAGGCGGATGTGGTTGCGGGGAAGGCGGAGATGGTCGCCGGCGCATCATCCTCGTCAAACAAGGACGGGCAGAGAGTTTGCGGCAATGGCAAGGTGGCCGGCGGTTGTGGGCGGAGGGACCGGGCAAGGCTGTGGCCGTCGCGTGATGTTGCGCCGCCGTGAGGTGTCTGTCGGAAGCGACAGTGCGGTGGCTAAGGGTTGTATGCGGCGGACTACACGACAGGAAGACGGAAGGCGGTTTGCAGCGGAGCTCTGTTGGTTGCCGGTGGCTGGCGTGCATCCATCGACGGTGTGTGTGTGTGTGTGGATCTGTGTGCCCCCCCGTGAAGTGTGTGTATGTGAGAGAGAGAGAGAGAGAGAGAGAGGGACTGCGTGAGAGAGAGGGAGTGCGTGGGACAGATCTGTTCTGGGAATGGTAACGGGTTTATTGGGGTGGGGCCCATTAATATGGTGGTTTATGTGTGATTAAATGTCCACATTACCTTTAATGATGGTATAATTTTGGCTTTTTTTAGCCATTATATCATTCGATCTAATGACTAAGATTTATTCTTACTTCTTTCACTAATTTTCATTTGGAGCGCGACCCTATATATATATCCCATGAGAATGGTGCTCAATGAAAGAAATAAGAATAAATCGTAGCAATTAGATCAGATGATCTAATGACTTAAAAAAATTCAAAATTACATATTCATTAAGGGTAATTTGGACATTACTATTACATTCATCACCACATCACCATGCCACGTCATCATCCCCACACACACAACACACGCACACACACAAATAACACACGCACACACACAGCACATCTTCTCTTACACTCACACAGACACACACACTACTTCACACACACTCACGGCTGAGACACCGCCAACCACCGCCTACCTTGCCGCCGACCACCAGCTACCAGCCACCACCGTGAACAGTAGCCTCCGTCTACATCCACACCTGAGAGCCCCACGATATGCACACACAGTCACACATAGGGCCGCCGGCACTTACCACCGCCGGTTGCTGCAGCATACTACCCGCCGGCGAGGCGTGTTCCGTCGGCGCTCGTCGCTCGCTGCCGCCCGAGAACCAGCCACAGCTCCGCCGCCATAGAACCAGTCACAGCCCCACCGCAACCCCACCGCAAACCCGCCGTCGGACACGCCATTAACGAGATGAGCGAGTCTTCATCGCAACACAGCCGCCGTCGTCGACATCGTCATCCCTCCTCAACTTCGCGGCCCGAAAGCTCCGGTTCATCGACGTCCGCCGCCGCCGACTCAACTTCCGCCGCCGCCGACTCAACTTCCGCCGACACCACCCCGACCTCCGCCGCGGACTCCCCAACAACATCCTCTTATCAGTGCTCAGGTAGAAGATTATCGACCTCGGATTATCCGTCGTCTTCTCCGGCTGTACCGGCGCCGGCTCCGTCAAAGGGGATCTGGAAATGAGAAATCGGGCCCCAATTTCAGAAATTGGATAATGAAATCTTAGATTTAGGGTTAGTGAAAGATTTGGTAAATTTGATAATATAAAGGACTTATGTGCAATTTTAGATATCTTAATTATATTTCAGTTTAATCCAAGAGGCAATTATGTAATTTAATGAAAATTTATCAAATACATTAATATTGTAGATAAAATACACATTATTTAGTATGAGAATGGAAATTAAAATATACAATAATTTAGAATGCACGTTACGGTTATATGGAATGTACATTAATGAATATAAGATAGCACATTAGTGTATAATTCGCGCACTTAACTATATAAAAATAATATTTTATATATTATACATTACAAATTATTTATCTTCAATAAATAAATAATATAATCATTAAATAAAATAAATATAAATACTAAAAATAATTTTATTATATAAATAATTTGATTAATGCAAAAATAATGTTAATTGAATACATATTATTAATGCATTTAAAATTAATATGCACATAAAAAATATTCAATCCAATTGCATACTAAGGATAAACGAGAAGCACATTAATGTTTGAGGGAATGCATATTTTTTATATCAGATATATTATATATTATGGATTTTCAACATATTATAAATAAAATACACATTATTTAGTATGAGAATGGAAATTAAAATATATAATAATGTAGAATGCACATTACGGTTATATGGACTGCACATTTATTTGTGTATAGTTCACGCACCTAGCACATTAGTTTTATTATATAAATAATTTGGTTCTTGCAAAATAATGTTAATTGAATACATATTATTAATGCATTTAAAATTAATATGCACATAAAAAATAATCAATCCAATTGCATAATAACGGTAAACGAAAAGCACATTAATGTATAGGGGAATGCATATTATTGATATCGATATTTTACATATTATGTATTTTCAACAAAAAAATAATATAAATTTTAAATATCGATATTAAATACTAAATGTATTTTTACAACATACACAAATAAATAAATTCAATTAATTAAGGTGATTCGGTTAATCGATCGAAAAAATCGATTATTTCAATTCGTTTTTAGATTGGTTTGGGATAAATCATTTTTAATGTATACGATGTAAGTGCACAATAGTGTTATATGATTGCATATTAATGACTATCGGACTGCACAATATAGTACAGTAGAGACAGAAATCGACCGAACTAAAATATTCGGTTAAAAAATGTATATCTCGGTTCGATTATTTATTTTTATTTTTAAAATCATGGTAATTTCAGTTCGGTTGTCGGCTTTGGTTTATTTATTATTTAAATAACCAAAATAACCAAACCAAGCAAACTATATTAAAAATACTATTATTATTATTTTATATAATGCGAGTGCACATTAGTGTTATACGAATTGAACATTAATAACAATCAGATTGCACAACATCGACCAAATTAAAATTTTCGATTCAAAACTTTTATATTTCAGTTTAATTATTTTATTTTTAATTTAAAAAACTCGATTATTTCATATCGAATTTTTTTTTTCAATTTAAATAATTTAACAATTGAACTATATAAAACAATATTATTTTTTTATATTTTTTATGTGAAAATATTATGTATTTTCAACCAATAAAATATAAAAAAATTAAAAGACTAATTATGTTTTGAGTTATTACAAATTTGACCATGAACCAAATTGTAATGTATTAAATTTTATAAAATTGCATCTAAGTTCCTCTAATATATCAAATTTTCAAAAATCAACCCACAAACTAAAAATTACTAACAGGTATGAAATTAAATGCAGTCAGCATCGGGAGTGGTGGCGATGCATGGTGGCAGGTCGGTGAATGTGACGGGTGGCTGGTGGCTGCGGGGGTGGTCTTGGTTGGCGCTGGTGGTGGCGGCCATGGATGTACAGTTGGTGGCTGGTGGTGGCGGCGGTCTTTAGCGAGTGCAAGGTTGACGGCGGCTGCAAAAACGACCGGCGGACTGATGACGGCGGCAGGGTGGCGACGGAGTCCACACGACCGACGGGCCTGGACATGTGACCGACGACGGCTGGCGGACTTTAGGGGCTGCAGGTTTGTTGACGGCAGCAACATGACGGGTTGAAGGAAGCTCGTCGGCGAGTGGAGGACGCGACCGACGCCGGGAGAGACGGTAGGGACGAAGCCGGATTTTGTGGCATTGATTCCTGGCAGAGAAAACAGAGAGCTGGTGTGCGAGAGAGATGCAGCGGGTGGTTGCGGCCGGCGGCCGGCGGCGGCTAGCGTAAACCGACGACGATGGGTGGAAGCAAGTTGCGGGGGGCTGTATTTCCGGTGATGGAAGGCCAAACGACGGGAGTAATTTCAGATTGAATGTGTGTGTGTGAGAGAGAGAGAAAATGAGGGTTAAATTAATTTTGGTGGAGATGGTGGGGTCCACCAAATAGATGAGTTGTAATTTTTTGTGTGTTCACTATTTTACTTTACTAGGTGGGCAAACTTGTACATTTCACCACAATGTGTATGTCAAATTACCATGTTGCCATTAATGATTGACCAGATTTTCACTTAATCTTTACCATTGATACAATGTATTCAATGATCTAGATCTATTCTCATTTCTTTCACTATCTATCATTCTCAAGTGACTCCATTTTTTGATATCTATGCTACAAGGACGGGACTAGTTTTCAAGCGGAATTCGAAGATTAGTCTTTCTCGCCTTTCTGCTACCTTAGAAGAGGAAATTCTGGCTTAGCAGCTGGTCGATCGAAGGACTGGAAATTCAATCCAATCCTTGAACGGCCGACGGGCAAAATCATCATAGAATGTGACTGCGCTACTGTCCCAATAGGCGCAAGGAGCGCCTCTTCTTGATCAGGCTTTCTCCCTTCCTTTATATGATCCTAACTCTCTCTCTCTCTCTCTCTCTCTCTCTCTCTCTCTCTATATATATATATATATATATATATATATATATATATATATATTTTAAGTTGAGACATAAATTTTAAAATATTTTTTTATATTTATTTTACGTTTATACTTAGTTTATATATATTCTTTTCAATTTAAATATATAATTATGATATATTAATATAAATCAATTTCTACTGCTTCACAAGATAATTTTTAGTTTAATTTTATATTTTTTTAATTTAGTTTGATAATTTAATTTGATTTAAATTTTATTTATAAAGATGTATAACATTTTTTTTTATTTTATACATATAATATGGATGTCAAATCGTAGATCGTTAAAAGATAATTAATTTGATATATCATATATAAAAAATAAAATACAAACAAAATAGTTATAAAATTTTAAAAAATAAGAATACACATTTATGATAATTGATGTATAAATTAAATAAGGAAAATAAATTAATGATTTGGTAATGTAGGAAAAGAAAATTTAAAATAGTTTATGGTAACTAATATAAAAAAAGAAGAAGATATCAATTACAAATTTAAATGAATAACATAGATATTTTATGCAATCCAAGCCTAATTATTATTTTACAAAAAATACTTATTTTTATCAAAACCTAGCTATGAAGCATGGTTTTTTTGCCACATAGGATTCCGAAGCGTGCGAATCTGCCACTTAGGTTCAACATATATTGCAATAATATATAGGGTGGACTAGTACATCACCCGTGAACTACATAGGTGTTAGAAGAAAACATCAATTGTACAACAAAGAATGAAACGAATTAAAATTCTTATTGAGAAAAAAAAAAATTTTAATAATTAATAATAAAGTAAAATGAATTTGTAATATTATTTTAAGTTCGCAAAAATATTTTGTATGAAGTATAATATATTTTATTCAAGATATATTCATTTTTTCAAAATTAAATACAATAACTAATATATTATGCATTTAATATAACGCCCTGAACAACAGGGGTGCATTCTCTCATCTGGGAGCAGGAACCCGCTTGCATTCTCTCATCCGGGAGCAAATCTCCATTTCGTCATTTTGGATTGTCCTCTTAGTCTCTAATCTCTTCCATTTTGTTATCATCTTTTTCGATTTGAGATCACCAACCATTCATTATTTATCCAATTTCTCGTATTCCATTCTATTCCAAAAATTAGGGTTTATCCTTTCACACTTATGTCATTAATCCAGCCATTAATCTAGCCATGGGAGGTTCTTCACCTTACGGTGCAGATGACGAGCTTTCTCAGAGACTTGAAAGATTCTCTCTAACGGACAGAGAAGCTGCATTTATTGACAGAGCGGAGGCCGACATTTGATTGAGTGCGGACGAATGCCATCGAAGTCTATTTGGGAAGATTGTTGGGGATAGAAAAGCTAGCTGGTTTTGTATTAAGAGGACCATGAATCAAATCCGGAAACTATCCCAATCAATGGAAGTAAAGGAATTAGGGCACAGTTACTTCCAGTTTATCTATCAAAATAGAGAAGATCTCACGAAGATGCTCAGTGGTACGAATTGGAGCTTCGAAAATCAATATCTTATTTTGAAGGAATGGCAAGATGGTTTATCAAGCAAACACCCATGTTTTCATGAGCTTAATATATGGGTACAGGTATTGAATATTCCCCTCAATTGGCTTAGCATAGAAGTTGGCCTTAGAATTGGCAGAATATTCAATAAAGTTCAAAATGTGGTCATAGTTAGCTCTGGAAACCATGGAGGACGGATAATTAGACTGTTAGTACCCTTAAATTTAATAGAACCTCTGCCCAGATGTGCTAACATTAGGATTGGTGATCAAGCAGTGATTGTTAGCTTCAGATATGAGAAGCTTGTGAATCTTTGTCACTATTGTGGCAAAATTGGACATCTTGATAGAGAATGCCAAATGAGAATGGAGGACATCAGTGCAAAATCTTAGAAAGAAGGCTAATTTGGAGATTGGCTAAAAGCCTTCGAGGGTCAAAATTGGGTAGAGGTCAATCCCTCTGGTTCAAGAAGTCCACCTCACTCTTCTAATCCTTCTGCAAATGATAATAGAACACCTTCAAACACCTCTTCCAGTCAATTTGGATGGATACAGCAGCTTATCATCCATCACTCACACCCACTCTCAAATCATCAGCAGCTGGGAGATCTATTAGGGACATGGAACTGGAAATTGAGGAACCCGAGATGATTGAAGCTCTGGAAGCTGTTAAGGATCCTACTCATTTCAAAGACAAAGGCAAATTAAAAACTTGGAAAAGATTTGGTGACAAAGTAGGCAGGCTTCAGAGACAAGTTGACAGTACACTTATGGTTGACAACACTACTAGTGGCAAGACCAAACAAAAGGATCCAAAAGACCGATTCATTGGAGATGACCAGGTAACCAGGGTAGCCGATAGTAAAAAGCTAAAAGTTGTTATAGAAAAGGTGGGGGTGGCCAGCCAAGAATGACACTCAAGTGACAAAATGTTAGCTGCGGTGTGGAACTGTAGAGGGCTGGGTGGGCCCTCCACATTTTCCCAAATCCGAGGGACACTCAAGTCTCACCACCCATACTTCTTTCTTTTTGAAACAAAAAATCCTAAAGCCTTTGTTAAATCAGTCAGTAGAAAACTGGGGTTTGAAGACAGACTTGCTTTAGTGGATCCTAATGGTTTAAGTGGAGGACTTCTTCTTCTTTGGAGCCCTTCTGTGGTCATTCATAACATTTGCAGTCAGGACTTTTCCATAGCCTTTGAATTTCAGATACCATCTTCAGCTAAATAGTGGGGAGTTTTTTGTTTATCTCAGCACTTTTAGAATTCGAAGTGCTGAGCAATGGTCAATTCTTGAAGTTGAAAAGACTAATTAGGGATCTCATTGGTTTATTGCCGGTGACTGGAATGATATTTGTTCCAAAGAAGAAACGTTAGGAGGTCAAGTTAGAAGTGATAACAACTTTTTGGGTTTTAATAACTTCATCAACTGTAACGCCCACTTCTGATTTAAAAAAAATACTAATATTTTCAAGTAATTTTAAACTTTTCAAAAATCTGAAAATTCTTTTTCTTGGGCCATTACTCAAACGTACTCATTCTTTTCTGAAAATTCTAAGTCTTTTCCTTCTCTTTATCTCAACCCGAAGCTAGCTAAGGGTGAAAAGGGACTAAACTCCCAAACAAGAGACATACAACATACTCAAACATAAATGCATAAAATCTCAAATTGTACAATCTCATAATCCTCAAATCCAATCATGCAAAATATCTCAGAATCTAGTGTCTCAACATGGAAAATAATAATGAAAATAAGTCTACAAATGTCTGAAAATAAATAACTGATAAATAACAGTGACCATCCTGCACTACCCTCCAGTGTCGCTAATCCAGTTGCTTAACATAAAAATGATGATTTTGGGGGATGAGCATAATAATCAACGTGCTCACCTTTAGCCTATAAAGTACGGACATCGAATTAAGCAACAGATACCTTGTAAGCAGATATAATACACAAATAATGGTTTCGCACCTCACTATGGCGCCTCTAGAATTCTCGCAGCTATCTAGTCGGCGCACTAGTCTCATCTCTTCTTTTCTCTTCTTATGTCACTCGGCCCCTCGGGGCAGCAGCTAGCATACAACATATCTCATCTAAAGAACAACCAATAAAATAGTTGTTCACCGCACAAGATCAACTTTCTCGACGGCGATCACAGTATAAAATTGGAAACACATAATTCATGCAAATAACTACTAACAAAAATACCACAGTGTTTAATCAGAATGATGTACTAGATAGACTTCCCCACCTGGATATACTGGCTCTGCTATAAGGATGAGTCGTCGCTTATGTGGAAACTCGAGGGCTCGACTCCTCGGAATCTAGGTAAAAGTAAGCGATACCCGGATCAATTACTAACTCTATCTCGGTAAACTAATTTACCAATTTAAAGGATTTTCTAGATTAAGGTTCATGACTTATAAAAATTCTGCTCTTTCTTAGATGTTGGAACTCTCGACTCGAACTCTTTAAAATTCTTGGAATTAACTCTCTAAAAATCTAAAATTAGCCTCGACTCAAAAAATCATTTTAAAGCTCGGGATAATTTTTAAAAATGCTAAAAATTGCTCGGGATACTCAGAACAGCTCAGAACATTTTAAAGATGGGTTCGGGCTTGTCTCGGGCTCAGTTCGGTCTCGGGCTCAGTTCGAGCTCGGCCGGTGCGGTCCGGCCGATGGTCAGGGTCGTGGGTCAGGCCGCGGGTGGCTCCAGGCGCACCGTCGCGGCGACCTGGTGCGGTGACTGGCCTCGGCCCTGCACTCGGTCAACTGTCGATAGCTCACGTGCACGTAGGCACGACTACGGGAGTGCTGNGTGGACCGACCCAACACTTCGAGTTTTCCCGACAACTTCCTCGGCCCACTTGACACAACATTAGACCTGTATAAAAACATTTTTGGGAGTCCCAATATTGGATTTTTATATCATGAAAATAGGCTAGAACAATTTATCAAAAATCCTACTTTTACAAAATATTTCTATGGCAAAAGAACTCCCATTTAAAATACAACTTATGGGCATATAAAAGCTCATTATTTGCTGGTATATTCACACTAAAACAAAGGTATAAGGGATCAGAAAACGCAGCACATAAACATCAACTTCTCGACTAAACATAAAGGGCTCGGCTAAGGCGATTAACCCGATTTTTGAAATACGGCTCAAGACCCTTTAAGACACCAACATACCAGGTTTATAAGCTTCTTTTTAGAGGTTTCAAACCTCACTAAACGCAGCAACTCAAAGCACATAATTTGAAGCCCGGCAAGACTCCAAACAAGACAATATATATCCCGATTTATCAATGACTTTAAAACAATTATCCCGACCTTTTTAAACACCAAAAATATAAATTTTCAGAGGCTATAACACATCCAAATACGAGATTCCAACATCAACTGATCATTAATTCAAATCTCATGACCAATGTCCACAATTTCTCAAAATCATGGAATAAGCGATGCATGAACCTTAAGCCCTTAACCCTTCAATTAAAACTCATGAAATTGAATAGAGGTGCAACCATATACCTCCTTTGGGAATAATAACGAGAAGGCTCGAAAAATCGAAAGTAAGTATATTTTTGTCTTTTTAGGTGTCAAAATGGCTAAAAAATATGTTTTTGGCGAAACATGACTAAAATTTGTGTTAGCCATTTCAAAGTTGCTAAAAAAAAATTCTCTGAAAATTTCGGAGCCATTGGATCAAATATTTGAAGTCAATGAGCAAGGGCATGAAAAAGAGAATCATTGAAATTTTGACATCAGACGCTAGTATTATATATAGTGAATTTTTTTTTTAGCCAAGTAGAAATGTAAAACATAAATTTTAGCCATGTTGTTGGAAAAACATCTTTTTTAGCCATTTTGGCACCATAAAATACCAAAATACCCTTACTATCTATTTTTCTTAAAAAAAAAAATAGAAATCGTCAATTTATGGGGTCCAGAAATCGTTTCTGGGCTCCAGAAATGATCGTTTCTGGGCTCCAGAAACGATTTCTGGGCTTTAGAAATGATCATTTCTGGACTCTAGAAATCCCAAAAATCCGAAAAACGATTTCTGGGACCGGAAATTGATTTCTGGACCCCAGAAATCGTGTCTGGTTCCAGAAATGCCAGAAATCCAAGAAATGATTTCTGGTCGCAGAAATCGTTTCTGGACCATTTCTGGAGCCCAGAAATCGTTTATGGACCCCAAAAATCCCAAAAATTCGAAAAACGATTTCTGGGACCGGAAATCAATTTTCGTTGCCAGAAATCCAAGAAATGATTTATGGTCGCAGAAATCGTTTCTGGACCCCAGAAATCGTTTCTGGTCCCAGAAATGCCAGAAATCCCAGAAATGATTACTGGTCGCAGAAATCGTTTCTGGACCATTTCTGGAGCCCAGAAATCGTTTATGGACCCCAGAAATTCCAAAAATCCGAAAAACGATTTCTGGGACCAGAAATCGATTTCCGGTCCCAGAAATTCCAGAAATGATTTCTGGTCGCAGAAATCGTTTCTGGTCCCAGAAATGCCAGAAATCCCAGAAATGGTTTCTGGACCAAGAAACGATTTCTAGTCCCCAGAAATCTCAGAAATCCCAAAAGACGATTTTTGAATCATTTTTGGAATCCCAGAAACGAATTTTGAATCATTTATGGACCCAGAAATCAATCCAAGAAGTCGGTTCTGGTTCAAATTTTATTTGTTTTATTATGTAAGACATTGACGCATATATAAGACATGTTCTTTTTTTACATTGTCATGTCAAAAATATGTCAATTGGAAAATATGTAAATTCAACAATCATATGCTCGACCTCAGTCGCTCAGCCCCTAGAGGTATATAATGAGTGACCAGGAGCGTGATAATGGTACACCAAGTCAAATACAATAAAGCACTTGTTGATATCCGACTTGATTACAAAATTAAGGACGGAGACTAATCACTTTATTGAAGAAATAATCTTTCAGAAGAAGATGGACTTAAGACAAGTCGGTATCTATTAGAATTAATTACCGACTTCCGAAGATTATCGAAGGAACTGACTATTGAAACAGATGTGAGTAAACCGACTTCAGTTCAATCCGACTTCAGTTCAACAAATATTATGACAAGATAAGTCAAAATTCTTCTATTCAAACCGACTACCACAAAGTCCAAATATCCAAGCAGAAAACAAAGTTGGAAGCTTCTGATTGGACCAGCAAAACGAAAAAATAATCATTGATGTTTCCCACCGCTTAATGTAAAGCAGCTCAACATTAAATGCGTCTTTATCCATTTTGAGCAAGAAGACAAAAATTACCGTACTATAAATAGTAGAATTTATGATAGTACGAGGATCTTCTTTTTCCTACACATTGTACATGGACTGAAGATGATCTCGGTTAACAATAAAAAACCGACTCCTGTACTCTTGTGATTATATCAAATAAAATCAAATTTTACTTCAATCTTTGTTTTTACACACTCAGCTGTATATAATTTTAAGTTGTTAAATCTAGACAACAACAGCACTAAAGTCTCATAATGTCGCGTATGACTTCGTTTACAAGGATCATAATAAATCTTAGGAACTTTTGTCTGGATATTTTCATATGTTGATGAGAGGAAATCCTAGAACCACCACATGCTATGAGACAAATGACAATGTTGTGTTCATGTACGCATTCGTTGCCTTACATGCTTCCAACGAATTCACTAATTGTTGCCGCCCTATGATGGTGATTGATGTACCCATTTGAAAGGTCAATATAAAGGCATTATGTTTGTAGCAACAACAAAAAATGACACTACAACAAATGTCATTATTTACATACGTACCATACATTAGTGTCATCTAAAGTCCCAACAATAGAATTTGCACAAATTTTGAATATTTTTTGCAAGGAATTTCTAAAATCAGCCATTTCTTAAAAACAAAATATCAATCAACAGTGTTCACATATCCATGTTTAAAGGTCAAATAGTGAAGCGTACACCGAGTCCCTCTACAGGAAACCTCGTAACCTAGAGACTGAAGCACAAACTTCACTTGTAATGCACTTCCTAATGCATGCTGCGGTTTAGCAACCTTAAAATGATATGTAGAGGTCTTTATTATCCATCCCGAAAATCTCTTCAGCTTTTCTCAAAGTCTCCTGAAAGTACCAAAGCTAATGAATAAGCAAGCCAAAAATCAAAAGCGTTAATTTTTTTTTTTTTAACACAATATTGAAGAAGGTGTGTTAAAAACCAAAATATTAATATCCACTTAACAATCTATCCCAAACAAACAGTACCACAAAGGTGTATTAAAGTTCAACCTTAAAAGCAATTCTTTTTATTCCATCATGTGTTATTAGTGTAAACTCATGTTAAACTTTGACATCAATTAAACTTACACAATGCCGACTTTCCTTATTTGGTTGTTTTATTCCTCTCCTTGTCGTCGAGCCTCAACTTCTTTCACTCATCTCCCATTGGTCGAGCTATTCTCCTTCAGTTTCAGCAAAACTAGAAAAAGTTTTTAAAACGTAGATCTTGAAAAAACTATGAGAATTGACTTGAAAATCTTGCAAAATTATAATCAATAACAAAGAACATAATATACTGGCTACAAGAAATTAGTCAATCTTCTTCATTCAATAAATCTATAGATTCAAATATTTATAACTTAATTAAGAGTATGTTATAACTATTCAAACTTAATAGGCTATTCGGACCGGATAACAATGTCGAAACAGTGTCCTGTAACAAGGAGAAGAAAGAGAGATATAAAATGTCATCTTCAATAGTTTCCTTTTGCAATTATTTTGTAGGGCCTTCTGTGCCATGAGAAAACCGAACGAACAAAATCTAATTTTTGAATGGAAAGATAGCCATAGCTCACCATCTCTAGTGAGCTGATTCGGTGGAAAAAAAAACCCATATGCTTTATCCCTGAAAAAACAATTACACAGCAAGGCTTTATAGTACTAACAGAAAATTTGGACTTGGACAAAACAAGTGACACTACAAACTTTAGGGGCATGTGACAAATTACTCACTCTTTAAAAACAAAATTCTGATTTACGGCGGTAAAATAAGAACCTCTGTCCATTGAACTAACACCAAACCTCTGTCCCTGATCGGCGCAACTTTTCGTGCTAATATATGCATTCTAAGTGAACGAAAACCAAAAATCAAAAGTTGATTAAAAAAAATAGCTCCCGTTCCATTTTTTTTTTTTTTTCATGTGTGCGTGCTTCAGAGCCAGTAAATATGAACATATAGATTAAAGAAACATTATAAGAAGGGTGCAAAGATATTGAAATATAGGAGAGCCACTATCATCAGCTTATGATAAGGCCAAACTCGGAAAATCGGTTGCTCACCTCTCCATATTGAAGCAATATGCTCCATAAAGGCTCAAAAGGACTCCCATTTTCCATTTTCAAGATTTTGCACTCACCAAAGACAACTTTCCTGCATTAGCTCACGGGGGAAAATGAAGTAAGGAATGATTGGAACTAGCATGAGAGACATATAAAGATATGGAGAGAGTTTAGCACGAGAGGAATGAGTAGAAAGACATGTTATACCAATATTTAGATAATAAACTAGATTGGATGTTAATCTAAACTAATAACGGGGCTATTTCTAAATAGATTAATTTAATTCTTTATTAACTTTTTGGTTCTAAACATAAGAAAGGTAGCAAAGCTACAAATTTGGCGCTCAAATAGAATTCAATGGCTTGTATTCCATAGTCAATGCCAGTACAACAATTTTTTTCTGTTGGTCACTTGCAAAGTGATGTAAGTTGCATTATGCAGTGTCAAGAACAGAGAGAAGGAAACAACCATATTAGCATCGAAAGATTTACCACTCACTATCGCTTTCTTTTAAAATCCTTGTCAACCACTGAATCTGATCATTTGCACATACACTCGAGTGATCCTGAAATGGCAGCAATTAAGTAATATAATATTTGCTTTAGAATAAATTAAAGAAGTGCATCAGAAGACAACTACAAAAAAATATTTCAGACCTGGAATAGGATGGCATCCAAGGCAATAATATCTAAGGTTCCATAAGGAATTTCAATTTTCTTTAAGAATTATGTCCATTTTGTCCGCCAAACGACCTAGAGGTGTACCTACAGGTTTGGTAACAGCAGATGAGAGAAATGGAAAAGCTTTCAACAAGTAAAATTAAATAGTGGGCCAAAAAAAATCATGAAATGCAATATACATGGAAATTATTGACCTGTACCAAGAAATGCTTTGAAATTCAGGAAACGTTGTTGCCTGTTACAAAGACAATTAATTCGTAACTAATTCAACTTAGTAAATCGAGTCATGCATAAAGCTATAATTATTTTTGCATAATTCATAAAAAGGCTATCCTGACAAGGAAAAGCATGATGAAATTACAAGTCAGTATATTCCCTCCCGTCACTCGGCCACCAGTCCATATAATAAATCTCAGTGGGAACAATGAGAGCATTGTATCATGATTGTGAATAAATTATACATCCTTATAACAGTCAAAAAGCTAGTATAAGAATATCCAGAAGTTTAGACAAGGAATAAAGCAAGTGCCTCCCGGTAACCTTTTCATAAGCAATAGTCAACTAAATATAAATAACATTGACCAGTAAGCCAACATATCTATTTATATAATCTCCAGTTACAACTTAGAATGCATAGATTCTGCCAGCAATACAATCGGAACTAATATTTTAAAGAGTTAAAAGAAGTAAAAGCACATAACTCAGATGTGCTAAGGAATAAGAAAAAAAACTCACATTCTGTAGGAGTGGACTAAATTCCCCAAGTTCGCTAACATCAATTACAAAACGCGCCTTGTAGGTCCTCTGACCTTTTGCAATCTTCAATAACATCGAATTTGAAATTATTAAAGGGTCCATAAAAAATTGCTGTAAAAGATATAATAATCAGGAATCAAATAGCTAACCTAAGTGGAAAGGTGTTTTTTTTTTTTTTCTCTCAGACCACGTAGATATGAACTCGGAGAGAAAAATAAAAACGAATGAAGAAAATTAAAAAGGTAGTAATAATTGTAAATGAAATTACTTCAAATCTGAATTCTTTTACAAGCACTTATAATTGTCGATCAAGATAATCTACTCTAGTGTTTCATGCCATTCTCCAATTAAACATTGTGAATGCAACGAATAGTATACGACTCATCAATGAACACGCCAGCACAACTTGATACAGTTAAAACTTAAATAGAATATTACACACAAAATCAATTATAATATCTCAGCTGCTAAAATCATCACCACCATCCACCCATCTCTTAGAAAGAAAAATTGTACCCACAATAAATATCGCTCTCAAACAAAAAAGAAACAGAAAAAAATCAAATATATAAGGAAATGATGAATATTCAATAACAAATAACTCATAACTCGAACAAACACACTTAAAGGGGCAAAGTGAAGAAACCACATTACTTCAACATATTTTAACATAACAAAACTCACCCTTACTAAACTAAAAATTTTCCACAAATATTCAACTACACTCAGAGGCAATTCCTACAATTCAATCGACATGCATATGACTTTTCTCCCCCAAAGCCTTCTCAAAGAATAAAAAAGGTAAAAACAATTCCATTACTCGGGTGGAAGATAAAGAATCCCTCTCCGTCAATAGCTTCATCTGCAATTCAATTTTGTCAGAAACCCTAATTCATGTCCACTTCACAAATACTCCTCAAAAACCAAATAATAAAAAATAAAGAAGTTCATGAAATTGATAGATTACATTACTCGAGCTAGGAGACTTTGTC